AAAAAAAAAAAAAAAAAAAAAAAATTGGTGACAAGATTAATCAGCCCGTGGGGCTGAAACACATGCTTGACTTAAACAACCTCTTTGCTGTTATTAACAACTGCTCCCTCATTTCTCTTGTTATGCTAATGCTACAGATTAGAGTAAAATCTATTCTTTCTCTGCTGAACAGGCCAATTGATTGAGGCTGATCTATTTTTTTTCTCCCCTTTTTAATTCTCTTTTTCTCCCGGCGCAAGTGTTTTCGGCAACAAGAACAACAGAACATGGGGAAAAAACAAAACTGCACACAAAAGTGACTAGCCCTCACATACACTAAAATCATTAATAAATACAAATATATATCAATCTCAGCTACCACCTTGAAATAATGTTCTGAGTGTTATAACAGCCTGATGACAAAAGACAGGAAATTTAGAGGAATAGCTGATGCTCTACCTTTATCTTTTTTATTTTGCCCATGTATGCATAACAACCAAAAGGTTCAGGAAAACTACCTGTGACTAGTTTTAATACCCTAATGAAATAAAAACATGTAGAAGAAACTTAGCATTGTTTTAGGACCCTCTCTAGTGCAAAAGATCAGAGAGGCTCTTAAGCGTAAAGTGTTAAGGAGGAAGGAACTGATCCTGTTCCCAATTAAGTCAATAGGACTTGGAACTCATTGCATTCAGTGGGAACAGGATTGGACCCAGCGTATCAGCCTGAGCTTTGAATGCTCTCTTTTGCTTGCTTGCATCACAAGCTTAATATTAATTGTTTCTTCCGTATTTAATTTCCTCTCGCTTTCATTTTTAATAAGCAAGAAAGAAGAGGGAAAAGGAAAATCTTTTGTAGATTGCCACAAAATTTACATAAACCCAAGATACCATCCTATTGAGAGGCATTTTGGTTCTTTAAAAATATTGCATATGTGCCATGGTTATTAATTTACATAACTAACATGAGTATATTTTATTGAAACATGTCACTTTCTCTCTGGACCAGAATTGCTCATACATAAATAAGTGGAAGCATAAGATGACCTGATCCTGCAATCCTTTCTTACATGAATAGTCTGTCATCATGCAGGATCCCATCCTGTTACCATGAAGTCAAATAAATCTGTGCTTCAGTGGAACCGGATCAGGGCCAACAACAGTCTGGCATCACTGAGTAAGAATGTTTGCATAAAGGCTACAGTCATCTAGCCCTGTACTGCAAACATACTGGGTTATTAATTTTTATATTATATTATATTATATTATTGGAATTAAGCATGTGCTTAAAATTAATCACATCATACAACATTTTGGTAAATAGAGATGCCTTTCAGCATATACTTAAGTGAAGAATTAAGACCATAACACTGTAAGTCCCTGATTCAATGGCAGCTAAGACCAATAGGAGTTTTTCTATCTATTTCAGTGAGATTTGGTTTAGCCTGTATCTGCTTTTTAACATAGCCACTGCTAGTTACACACCCATTTACACACTAGTTTACACACTCATTAACCACCACTCAATTTGCAGGTGGCAGGTATTGTAAAGTTTACTGTACATATTACTTTGGTTCAATGAGTTTCCAGAATCCACTTGTAAAGCCTACCGACTGGAAGCCTCCTTTGCGAATCTGCTCAGGATTAAGTAGGATAAAGATTTTGACCATTGAGCCTGCAATGTCTATCTATTTTGTCAGTCAAACCACTCTAGTTGAGAGACTTTAAAAACTTGATTAACCATATCTTTGATCAGAATGCTTTCATTGTTTCATAGAAATTTAGAGTGTATGAGGAACCATAGGATTGTCTTGTCTGACTGGATCCAATGTAACACCACTCCATAGAATTTCACCCAGTTACCTATGGACTGGGCGCATCTGCATGTGCCCCTGACTGCTAAAGCAAGTACTAAATGACCGAGCAGTACCCACCAGTACTGTGCAGTCTTGGTGGTGCATGGGTCATTTTTTACTCTACTGCACAGTAGCAACAAGCAGTAGCAGTAGCTTGTTGCTAGTGCTCAGCAGCACCAGTGTCATGGTTAGTGCCTGCCAACGCTATGTTGCCATAACGATGAGCTATATCACTGTAGCTCATCACTATGGCAACACAGCATCTTGTGTAGACACACCCACTGAGCCCTAGAATTTTTGTTTGACTAAATCACATCTTTCAGAAAGATGTCCATTTTTGATGCAAAGGCATCCAAAGAAGAATCCATCCATTTCTTTGATACTTTTGTGCTTCATTCTAATTCAGTTGTCTGGCTTCAAACTCTAGCCGTTGGTTCTTGTGCCGCCTTCTGCGAAAATAAAGAGCCCTTTAAGATCTGATATTTTCTTGCTGGGAAGCTACTTATACACTAATCAAGTTACCTATAAATCTTTTTTTTCTTTTGGTAATATAAACAGATTGAGCTCTTTATGTCTCCCACTTAGGCATTATCTCCAGCCCTCAAATTGTTTTCATGACTCTCTCCTGCACCCTCTCCAATCTTTCAACATCCTCTTAAAAATGTCAACACCAGAACTAGATGCAGGATTCCAGCATCAATTTCACTAATGTGTCTACAAGCATAAAATCAGTCTTGCTTAATCATCCAAGGATTGCAATATCCCTTTTGCAACAGCAGTGCATAAAGAGTACGTGTTAAATTAATATTTTACTATAAGACAAGGTCCTTTTAAAGTCACTGTGCTTTTCAAGCTACAGAACTCATTGTGTGGATGTGGTTTGGATTCCTTGGTCCTAGATATATAACTTTGCATTTGAATGTATTTAAATGTATTTTGTTTGAATAGACCTAGCTTACTAAGTGATCCAGATCTCAATGTGCAACTGC